GAGATTCCTTTTGTAATAGCTCTTCGCAGGTCAAATTTTGGCACTTTTATAATGATATGAAAACTTTTGAAGCGAAACACTGATAACCGAAATCGAAACACGGCCGAATTACTATTGACCGAAACAATGTTGATTATAAAATTAATTATAAAATGACGATTAGGAAACTGGCAACGAAAAAATGGGAGAATCTGCAAATTTACTGCATAAATGCAAGAAAAGTCCAACGTATCTCTTTTTCGGGAACACTACGCGCTTCTGTTCGAAAGTTCGAACTCAACAGTCATCCACCCTATTACTTCAAACAAAGGAGAAGTATCTACGATTTGAATGACCATAGAATTATCCGCAATAAGAATTACGAATAAGAATTATCCACGAGCAGCATCGATAGTGGCTCCCGCCGTCTGGGAAATGAATACCAAGCAATAGTTAAGACATTTCCCGCACCTGATAATCTGTTTTTCCCCCCTGAGATCAACTTAAGCTTTAACTCAAAGTGGTCCAGCCTGCCAAATTCACATGTTCCGGAGCTGTCAAATACGAATTTAAACGGGTGAAACCAGAAATACGAGTTCAGTTTCGTCGCGATCTACTGGCCGAGAAAAGTGCCAAGAGGGAAAGAGAGGAAGGGGATCATGGGAGAGGAAGGAAGAAGAGAAAATAGCGAATAAGGGTTGGATTTCGAACAGATTTACGTGGAATTTTTATAAAACTGGCAAAACAAAGAAAGTAAAAGCGCACTAATGGTAACGTCCAGCAACATACAACCTCCAGGCTACTCACAGCTAAACTCTGTGATGAACAGCGGGGCCACATGCGCATCTCTTCTTTTTCCAAAATCAAATTTTCGACTACTTTTACGGTTTTCTCGGTAAAATTCAGATGGGGTCATTTTCATTTTATTAAGGGAAGAAGGGAACAATGAGGACGAGGTACCTGGAATTCAAGGACACTTTCCACGCCACCTTTAATTTCCTCGAAGAAGCACTGGTTGGCATTATCGGGCAGCTCGAACGTCAGTTCGATGGCTCGCGCAACGGCCAAAATCGAGAGCGCCACAGTTCGCAGTAACATCTCAGTTCGCGGTCACCTTCCAGTCATCAAACCTGCAAACAGTGCTTGTTATGAGAAAAAAAAAAACACAATCTATCACTTTGCACAGCGGCGTTTCTCGACAATAAAGTCAATTTCGCGTTTTCTGTTGAAAACGGGAAAAAATGGTTTTTCTCCTCCTCCCTTCGCACATCTATTTGAATATATTTTCCTCCGTTTCAGCGTCAAACTCAAAGTCCGTGAGGGCAATTTCTTGCTTTTTCATTCAATTTTACAACTGCAATCGTACTTCACCACCTTGGGGAAGGGGAAGGGGAG